TGTTGGCACGGTTATAAACACTCAGGTATTATGTTATGCTTGCTAAATTTTTGATAACCAGATGTTTTGCTGCAACTATAATCAGTCTTTTTTTTTTTTTTTTTTTTAAATGGCTGGTACAATATAAAATTTAGAGGACTAGAAGTATTAACACAATTGCTGTAGAAAAAGAGTCCAGTCACGTTAGCCTTTTACATTTTACAGGCATTGAATGTTAGTGTAGTACTAATTGCATACTCCAAATGTATGTAAAATTGTGGACACAGCAAAGTAAGATAATTAAAATCAGAATTGCAGTGGAGGCCTAATATTGCGGGATCTGCAATTTTCACAATACCACAAATGAAGTAGGGCCTTATTTATAATTTTTATCCCTTAAGTATAATTTTGACTGTAAGTGTATTTTGACCTTGTAGTCTCTTTAAAATGAAATAATTACAGATTATAAACAGAATACAAATTTACTAAAGGTCTGCTGATAGTTGTTTAGCCCAAAAGTATACAGATCCCACATCCTGTGGTCATACTTGAGTTTCATTTTGTGAAAAAAGGGAAAATCCCCAAGAGATAAGGGGACTTACCATATTTATTTTATGAAACTTTCAAACTGCTGAAAACTTTAAAATGAAAATAGTGTTTTGAATTTCATCCATAGAAATAAAACTATTATTACTCATGAGAACTGAAGTGGGAATCAAAGCAAGCATGTCTTCAAGATGTGCAAAATGGCCCACTCAGCAATCTAGAGATAATCACAGGAGTAGGTGTAAAACTCAAACAAAAAAATATCAAATGGCCACATAGATTGTAAGTGTTGCATTTTCACCATGATAGGTCCATATAGTCTATTTGGCTAAGTGGTATTACACTTCATCATGTAAAATAAATAGCAGCATTGTAATTTCTTAAAACCAAATGTTTCTTTGTTTGTATTAAACAAGGGTACACTTGTGATATAATACATACTTTATCCAGGTATAAAAATAAGTAAAACTTAGTAAATATGCTGTGGTGATATTAAAAGATCACTTAATGTGCATCAGTTCAGAGTGTTTAAAGGTCTAACAAATATGTGGGGGGAGGAAAAAGTCTATCTTTATGATAAATATTTGCGGGAGTCCTGGATTTTGATCATAAAAAAAATGCCAACCTTTATCTCTATGTCCCTATTTAAATTTAAAACCAAATTAACTTTTAATGGGCCACTCTTGAATCCTCATACACTGCCTTTCTGCTGTTCCTTTTAACTAGGCCTAGAAATGTGATTTTTTTTTTTTTTTTGGTTTAATATTAAAATCAGTGGGTCTCAAACTTTTGTACTGGTGACCCCTTTCAGATTGCAAGCCTCTGAGTGTGACACACACACACACCCCCTTATAAATTAAAAACACTTTTTTATATATTTAACACCATTATAAATGCTGGAGGCAAAGCAGGGTTTGGAGTGGAGGCTGATAGCTCACGACCACCCATGTAATAACCTCTTGACCCCCCTCACGGGTCCCGACCCCCAGATTGAGAACCCCTGATTTAAATAGTACTTTAATCTTTATTGTACCCCCTGAGTATTTTAGTGAAGTACATAAACTTTATTTAACACAATTTTTGTGTACAGTTTTCCATAGTACCCGCCACTGTAGTGTCTTTGTGAGCTTAACTCATACACTTTCTCTCTCATGTGCACGCATTCAATCATGAAATTCACCCTGTGCACAGTGCCAGAACAAGGCCCATGCAATTAAACCTTAAAGTGGTGCATGAGACTCATGATGTCCCCCTATGCAGGGATGAATTTAATCCCGCGTGAGAACTGCATTCCAGAGTCATCTCCTCAAGAATGAGAAAATGGAAAAACAAAATAACAGGAGTTAAAATACTTGCCAGACAGAAAAGAGGGACACGTGGCATGTAGCAGGCATTTGCAAAATGGCCTTTTTAGACCTGTTGCTACTTAACTCTGCTAAATTTAAATGGACATTTCCAGAAATGCTGGGAAAAAAGTTCTCTAAAAGGGCAACGTAGAAAGCTTCATAGGGACCATGCAATCACAAATTAAGGAGCTGGTTCTGTGTGGCCACAGATGACTCTTTTTTTTTTATATATTTCCCATTCATACTGCCTGTTTGAATCCTTTAGGAGAAATTCAGTCTCTTTTGCTTTTCTGCTAACCAACTGTAGTACCCTTGCTTCAGAGTCTGGACATGCAGAGAAAACTTTAGTACTTCGGGCAGTATGGGTAGGGCAGGGGCTTCCCACAGCAAGGGTCAGGGTAGCTTTGTGAAAGACCTGCCTACTCCACTCCTCCATAGCAACAACTGACCCCACTCTAGCAGAAAAGTGGCAGGGACTCCTACATAGCAGGATAAATAAATGTCATCAAGTTCTGACTGGCTGCATTTTTCTCCTGCTTTAGTGCAGGGTTACAGAGAGGCAGGTGGGCTGCAGGAAGGCAAAGGAACAATTAGTTAATTAAATCAGAGCTATAGGGAGTATGCAGCTCAGGGACAGATGAATAACTAGGACAAGAGCTGATGACCGTTTATATGTACAACACAAACACACATCCTAGCTAAATAGAGAAGTGATTGGGGAGTTTATGAAGGGGCGCGGGGGAAGGAAAGGGACATGTGCTAGTTCTATGACCACTCTCTGCATGTATGTTGTATTCCTTTCCACTTTCTGTATTGTTTTTTCCAACTGTTAGCTCTTCAGAGCAGTGTGTCTTTTAGAAACACCTAGCACGCTGAGTGCTGCTGTAACCTAAGGCTGTGATCTTATAACTTGTTCTTCATAGGTGGACCCATATTGAAGACATTCCTTGGGAGCCCACCTGCATGAACAAGTTGCAGGATTAGTGCCTAAATTGTTAACTTCTGTTGCTAGGCGATTCTGGCTATATTTTTCTCTCCTTCCAAGGATGTGGGTGGTTTTTTTGCTCTCAGCTATTCAGGAAGCCGTGGATTCTAACATGGTAATAACAAATGGTCTTAATCCAGGGGTTCTCAAACTGGGGGTCACGAGGTTATTACCTGGGGGGTCACGAGCTGTCAGCCTCCACCCCAAACCCCACTTTGCCTCCAGCATTTATAATGGTGTTAAATATATAAAAAAGTGTTTTTAATTTATTGCGGGGGTCGCACTCAGAGGCTTGCTGTGTGAAAGGGGTCACCAGTACAAAAGTTTGAGAACCACTGTCTTAATCGTACATTTTCTGAATGACATACTCCGAAAGCCTAAAGCAGACAGATTGTGGAGTTACTATTTTGTTGCTACATGTCTTAAAAGGTAATATTCAAATAGCTTTCTTGGACTCAATAGGTATTTACAACTTAGTACAATCTTGACGCTAATTTTTGCTCATTTTTCTTGTTAATCTTGTAGCTAAAAAGTTGCCAAAGAGTGAACCACAGACTGCAGGATCCAACTCTGCCAGAGGAAGAGGCGTAGACCTTACTGAACCCACACAACCACCCAAGGCTCAATGTTGTAGTAACTAAACCTTCAGTTGCTTTAAACTGTCTTGAATATTCTTCTGCTTCCTAACTGTTAATAACAATGGAATTGGAGTGTTTAATCTGGTCCAATGCAGCTTCCAAAACAGAAGAGACTAATGACATAGTCAAGTTTCTAATACAGAATTATTTTGTTTTTATCTTAATTTTTAACATGCATGTATCACTGGCTGTAATATTTCAGCAATAGAGGGGAAGTGGAAACTGAATAAACTTGTTTCAGTTGAAAGGTTTTAAAAATCACTTGCCATTAGGGATATAGAAGAATTACATTTATTGACCTAACCAGCTAGTCCTCAATATCCAGGTATTGGTTACTGTTGTAATTGATAGAATTGGGACTCTTCAAACGTTTCAATTTGTGCTTTTAAAAAAAAATCTTTCTAGAAACAGGGTCTACCGATACTTTAAGCTTATTTACAGTATTCGTGCAACCAGTTGTTTCTGCAAGTATCTACCATTTAAATATGCATTCCACATTTTCATAATTTAACTGCAAACAATACTTGCAGCATTTTAAGAATCCTATGCTTGCAGAAAAATGGATTTTAGTTGTTACACTGTATGTAAATTATAGTCAGCCCAGTGGTTTAAAGAAAATAGTGATTAAAAATCAAGTTTAACTCCATATTTATCTGTTTATAAAGGCACAAACCAATGAATTCAACTTTACAGGATTTTTCTTCACAAACCATAAGAGCTCTCCAAGTAAAACAAAGACAAACTAGGTGTCTGTGATTTTTTTTGTTTGTTTTTGATCATTGCTGGCCATTACACAGCTTCTTATGTTTTTCCCCAAAGGAAAAAAATAGTCAGTGCACTAATAATTATGTACATTCAACTTGATTTTAAATTTGGATATTAATGTACTGTAAATAGGGTACTGCATTGTAGTCTACATTTGTTTAATACTTTCTGTAATATTTAAGAGTTGCTTAAAGGTATACAAAATGTACAGTTACTGAAAGCTAACTTTTCTCTTCCCCTAATCTAAAGGGGTTCTGAGTTCTTCCTTTATGGCTAGAACAGTAATAAATGATGCTCCTGTACCTGTAACATAAGTACTGCTGTCTGTCAGTAATGAACTCTGCAACCTTGTTTTCCAAAGTCCATTTTATTTTGATCTGTCCAGTCTATTGCACTAATTCTTTGTTATTTTCATTATATGAAATTTACCAAGTGTGTCAGAAGACGATTTAATCTATTTAAATGTTGAACTGCTAGCAGAAATTTGTGCAGATTGTAAATTTGCAGTAATTTGGGCATAGCAAGGAAAATGACAGTTCACCAGTGTTTAGTTTTATATTGAGGTGCTCAGGTTTGAATAAAGTGGTTATAAAACAGGAAAGCATCGTGATTAGTGTCTGTTCTTACCATGAATTCAACAAGAAATCTTTATTGCATTTTAGCAGTTAGTGCTTTCACACAGTTACAGAAAAATGACTTTTGCCCCCAAATGGGTTGACCAGGTGAGGATGACACTTTAAGCCTCATGTAACTTGACTTGCCTAAATCTAGGGTATATTGTACACACTTTGGTACTCTGTCCGGTAAGCACATTACACATTTTGAATATAATTAGGTATCTTATCACATCCATTTAGAAGTGCAACCAAAATAGTAATATTATCTCGAGAACCTGCTGCTAATGCAGTTTTTACCAGTTGTTTACTAATGTAATTTGCTGCACTGTCATAGAATGTTGCCGAATTTATTTCTCCTTTGCTGGCAATTTGTGAATGTGATCCACGATTATTAGACAGATATGCTTTTGTATCGTCGTCAAACTGTTTCAATTCTTCAGAACCTTCTTGACTGCCAGAGGCTGACTGGATTATCTCTGTGTGTTGTGAACATGTTCCGTGATTATTAGACAGACAAGCTTTGGTATCTGCTTGTTTTACGTGATCGTCTAACTGCTGCACTTCTTCAGAACTCTCTTTGTTAGAGCCTGGCTGCATCCTGTTTTCATTTTGCGAATCTCTTCTGTTACATGAGCATGATTTTTTATTATTTTGTTTCAGACTGCCTTCATGTTGATTCTGGAGGAAAGCCTCTTTATTAAAATACCATAATTGGATTCTGTCTTCTAAGTCATTAATATCCATTGAACTACATAAATAGTCTTCATAGGGAATTATTGAATACTGATATTTGTGCATAGAAATCTCTTCTCGCTGGGCATACATTTCCAAATAAGAGGTGAACATTCTTAGAGTTAATATAACCACTTCATTTTTATCCAGAACTTCCCAAAGCCCATTAGAAGCTAAAATAAGGAATTGACATGAATCATCTGTAGGGACAGATATGGTATGTGGTACAGGAATAACAGATTTTTTCAACTTTGGATCTCCATGATGTCCAAGGCCACGAGTAGCTCTGATGAGCCCTTCAACTAGTCCTTTTGGTTCATTTGTGCTGATGTTTCCACCATTCTGAAGTATACGGTCTCTTTCCTTTGAATTAGAAGTGCTGTGTTCTTTGGTAAGGCAGTAGCTTTTTCCATTTTTGCATAAGACTGCATGTATATTACCTAAAATAAAATAAGTACATTTTGCATTTCATAGTATGACTGAATTTTTTTTTTTTTTTTTACTAAACACTATTAGGTTATTCACAGTAATGAGCCATTTTGACAGGTGAAATCTTGTATTGTCCCTTTCACTTAGCTTTTGACACATTTGCATGCTGACATCCATCCTTATGCTGTTCTGCTTGTCACTGGTCTCTCAAATTTTTGAAGGAGTATCTGTACTTTCTAAAATGTCACTGTAGCATTGTATTTCAAAACTTTTGATGGGTTGTAATTGAAATTCAAAATATCAGGCTAAGAATGTAATCCTGTGTAAATTCCAGCAGCTGATAATGAATTTCAAACATAGTTCAGTGCTTGCAGATAGTGTTGGCCTAAAGGCTTAAGCACCTTTCTTAAGTAGCTATTTAAAATGTATACCTTTTTTTAAATCTTGTATAGTTCCAGAAAGAAAGTGAATGTACAGGAAATAAAATAAACAGTTTAGCATCTCCTGGTTCCAGTCAGAATGTGCTTATCAGTTAGTCTTTCACAGTGTAGTCTGTAGTCTTTCACTAATATAGGGTCTAAATATTTAGTACTTGTGTCTCTTGTAAAGAAGAGAAACATACATTAATTTTTTGCGACTTGGTTTTCATTTGTAATTTATACCATGATCAGATACTGCAGTGGTGGTTGTAATCTAAGCAATGGGATAGCTATAACTGATTACGTATATTATGTATTGCCACTTACATTAAAATATTCTGCTTAGTTTTCCTGTCACCATGCTGTAGACAAAGAGTAGCTCCACAATTACAATGAATTGCTTATTTAAAAAGTTCATGCTTTTGCAAGATCCAAAAGACTTATGCTGGTATGATCTTTGAAATGGAAAATGCTTAAGTCTCAATACAAGGTGCACATGGTAACAAAGCGCAAATTAGGACGTGCCAGCTATAACGGGTTGTTCTCAGGAATAAGGTAGTCTTAAATGTTTTCTGAAGTTGCATGATGAGCTGTAGTAACCTCATATGACAGGCCATTAAATTGACTAATTCCACGCTATATCAACTAATTTGACAATAGCATTAATCTATTCTGAGGATTACAAGTCCTCTGCAGCCTGAGGTGGAGAACCTTTGTCTGAGCCAGCAGGGGAAAGAAAATGCTTGGGTCCTTCTAAGAATGGCATTTCACCTCTTAGTGGGTTTTACGGAGAGGGACTCCATAGTGGATTTCCTGAATTGAAGAATGCAGTGGAAGACCACTGACTGTGGCACAGCCAGAGGGCGGTGGGTCTTCAGTTCTTTCCCCTGCCTGGAATGGCATACTGCATATGGTAGCAATGGTTCCTTCCCTCTTGTTTTGAGATAGAGTAGGAACAGGTTTCTGGGCCTCAGAAGGTATTTTCCCCTTGCTGCTAGATTGGCCCTGGCAGGTTGAGTTTTTTCACCTTTCCTGCTGCAGCCTAGGAAGACCCAGAAGTTAGGATAGGTGAGGCTGGGTGGTGTTTATCTAGTTACAGCTTGTTGGGTGTCTACTGCAGGTATTTGGTCCTGCTTACAAATATACACCAGAACTGGAAGCAGTATTAGGGGCACGCATCCCCTAAAGAAGGGAATGGATAAATTGTTTGGAGCTCCTAATGTCATCCTCAACCTACCTATAAAGGGAGGGAAAGATTCCAGCAACAGTGCCTAGGATCAGGTTGAAAGTTTTTGAGTAGCTCTTTCCCAGATGTCCTGTGTCTCTGGCAGTGTCTGAGACAATTCTACTCTGAAAAGTGTAAAAAAGGCATCTTGTACAACAGTGGTCCCTTTGTGGATTTGGAGACCTAGGTTCTTGCTTACGAGACATAACTTTTTTTTTTTTACTGTTTACTTTTTTTTCTTGTTAGCATTGCAGAGCCAGTAGTGAGCTGGATTCTATTCTTTGTGTCAACCAATTTGTTTGCTAAATTCAAATCAGTTACACCTATGCAAGTCCAATGAAGGCAGGTGAGAGTCCCACTCTGATGAACCAAAGGAAGTTTGCCAAACCAGGAATTGGGGCATGGAGTCTACAGATGTCTCCAAGCGCTGGGTGGGTGATTTAATGTGGGGAAAATGAAAACAGTTTAGATGGTCCCCTGCCATCTACAATATTCTCTCTCCCTACTCCACAGATCTGCAGGCATCCCATTTCAGTTGCTCATCATATGCTCCAAAAACTCCAGTTCCCCTTTCATGTATCAAGAAACACTGCATACCCAATTCCTAAAACACTCCTATAAAGCCTTTGTGTGCTAACCTCAGCAATTACTGGGTGACTGCAAATGTATGCATGGACCAAATATATGTAAATAGTGAAAGTATGAGCTTGGTGTTACGTTTTTGCATGTGCACGCTAGAAGCACGTGATTTGGAGTTAGACTATTAGCATGATTTGTTAATTATGATTTCTAGGTGTGATATGTTAAATGAGGTTCCCTTTTGGATACTTCCTCCCCTACCCTCTACCCCAGTGGTTTGCATGGGTGGGTTTTATGCTAAAGGAACCTTTCCTGTAACCAGCAGAGTTCTTGGTGATTATATTAGACTGTACCATACTTATGAGGACACGAGTATAAGAAGCTTCTGGTGGCAGATCATAGTATAATGCAGAGATGCTACATTATATTAAAATTGAGCGAGACTGAGTGAGTTCTACATGATTTTTGCTAATGTCACAGTCCAGACTGACAATCTCTCTCTCTCTCTCTCTCTCTTTATTGCAGAAAAGGGTTGCTTCTGAGAATTATTACATGGTGGTTTTATGACCCAACAGTCTTGTCTCTTAAGGCTAAACTGAAAACTACCACATTTTCTTGTCTGCTACTCTAAAATTGAACCTAGCACTTGTAAGATGATGCACCAGCTCTCCCTTGGCATGGGGGAGAGGGGAAGGGCAAGGGGAATCAAGCTTCATCTTAATGGTGTATGAATCTAATGCATTTAAAACAAATGGTTCATTGGGTAGTTAGACTTCATTTTTATTCAATGTAATTGAATAAAATATCAAATGATGGATTGTGTTTGGGCCAATCTTTTCAAAAGGATTTAAAAAAAAACAAAGTACCTCAAAATGACTCCAAGCCCTATTTCATTACCTATGTTAGACCTGGACCATGTGATTAATAGAGCCTAAGGTAAAGCTTGGATTGGGATTGGGGCATAGGGCAGAGCATTTTAGATATGAGGGGGCTGAGGAATCATCCCAAACTTGCTGCATTTGGACCATGTTACCGTCCCATTGAACTATACAGGCTTTCCCTTACTACATGAAGTGACAAATGGGTTCCAACATTTTCCGGGCTAACAGTAACCAATGACCCAAACAAATTGGTCTGAATGGAGTTCCCATTTCTCCCAGATTTAGTGCAATTCATAGTCTCACAGCTGGTTTCCAAGTACTAGTGGGATAGGAGCACTTAAAATGCTCATAATAATTGTACAAGCTTGTCTAACCGGCCATTGTCAGATATTTGTTTGGTGCAATGGAGAGTGATGTCTTTAGATGTTCTTAATCATAAGGCACTAGTGCTACAAAGTCTCAAAATTTAATGATCAGAGATCATTTCCATGCCAAAAGACACTTTTTTGTTTCTGTTTATCCTGGGTCTTTCTACTCAGCTGTAGAATTTGGTTTAGTCTGGGAATGATCCTACTTTTGTTCTGTTTTGAGACCTGTGACACATCTGCAACGCAGTTGAATACTTTGCTTCAAATCCCACAAGGACCTTGTGTACACTAATGAATTTTACCCCAAAAATTCCCCAGGGAGATTTAATGAACAGAGATAATTAGTGAAAGCTAACAGTACCTTGTCTAGAGTAGGGCTACCACTGTGCATCTGAACTGGATAGCAGTGGTGAGAATTTATTGGTAATATTCCCTGTTGTCATTGTCAATGGACTTAATTGTGGCTATTGCAGCTATAACCAGGTAAAAGCAGGATTCTATTGAAAACAGAATCAGATCTGAGCAGAGTTTCCACCTAAAATACTCCCAAAGGGGAAAAGAATCTCCATAAATTACCCTTGAACATTACATTTCAAGAGTAGCACTAGCTCTCCTCCCCATGTAACAACAGAATAAAAGAGGAGATTACTTTCAGTTGCCTTTGACACAGTACTATAAACAGCAGAAGCAGTCAGATCCTTATCTACACCCATGCACCTGAGCTGCTACTAATGCCAGTGTTTTGTTGGGGTTTGAGGGGGGTAAAATTCCCTAGTGTAGACATTGCATATGTGTCTCTTCTTAAGTTTGACCCACGTTTGGCTTAAGTTTTCACCAAAGTTCAAATGAATGAGACTTGGAGAAAGGGAAGACTTCTGATTTTTGTGCCATATCCCACACTAAACCTTCAGTTTTCCTCCCTTAACTGTTTCTTCCACCTTTTTATGCTGGTCACTTTTCCTGCATCCCTCAAAGTCTTGTAATTATACCAGTGACCCTAAATGTTCGCTTAATTTACAGCTGTAAGTCAAACATACTATCAGATATATGGATGAACTGTCTTATAGAATAAGCTTGATACTTATTGTCTGACAGCATCCATTGCACAGGGTTTCATCTTGTACCCTCCAGAATGTCAAATAAAACCTCTTACCACTAAACTTGGCTTAGATTTTTTTCCCCCATTGTAATTGGGGGAGGAGGGAGAGCACCAAAAAAACACCCAACCCCCCCCCAGCCCCAAAAAACAACCATTCCGTAAATCAATAACGTACATACCAATGTTAGCAATATGCAGTATCCCAGTACTGCTTTCGGATGGATTTGCTGAATTAGTAGTGGTGTTTTCAAGCAGCATTGTCTCCTCTTGTTCCTTGATGCTCTTTTCATTACTGATCCTTTCCACTAAACAGGTAACAGCTGTACAGCTACTCCAGCGAACTTTGGAAACCTCATTCCTTCCAAGTCGTAAAAGTCTGTCCATTCTCCAAAAGGACTTCGCATATGCTTTGTGAATCCATTCATAAGTGTTTGGCTTGGTTTTCTTATCACTGTCTGTTTTACCAGAGAAAACCTTTTCCTGATCCCTGTAATTTCCCTTGATTACTGTGACAAAAGAATCTAGGATCTGTTCCTCATTTCCACTCACTTTGTAAGAGGAATCAGTCTGAGACAGTTGGTCAAGAAATAAAAGTGGAAACTCTGCTGAAACTGTCTCAGCAGCAAACACACCATGATATCCATCGAATAAGCCCAAAAAACACGTATCTGACCTATTTCCATAATTATCTAGCACAATGAATGTATCTTCCATATCTGCTCGCCATGTTGAATTTTTGTCTTGGCAAATTGCTAATGCTTTTATTAGAGAATTGCTTACTTTCTTGAGGTATCCAGAACTGTCAACAATATTATCAACACTAAAATATGAGATGCCCTTTGATTTATTCTTAAGTAGCTCTAACGAACAATCAATCTTCTGTTTGTCTCTTTCAGTGTATTTAGAAAACTTGATCAGTCTTGAAATTAATTGCTGTCTCTGAAGTAAAAGTTTGTTGGTGTCCGTTTCAATCCATGGACGATGATAACCCAGTAGAGCTAGGGCTTTGTGCTCTTTTTTATGATAAAAAAGTTGATGTGGGTATATTGTTTGTTGACATATTGAACAAAGAACTGGAATATCCCCAGAATCTACTTTCCTGGGCACAAAACCGATCTTCTCAGCCTGATTTTCCTCATGTCTGTAGAGTTCAAAGTCAGCTGTTTTTGAGGTAGTTTGTAAATTTGGTTCCCATGTCATTCTGCAAAAGGAGTTGAATGTTATTAAAAGGGGATTTTAATATCCAATACAACTACAATAATCTAGCCTTCATGCATGCCCTCTTTTAATCTCAAAATTATTAGCATTACTTTATATTCATGTATATGTCCAAGAAGCTGGAAGATTTAAGCTGAATGCACATGGTGTATATAAAATTACTAACTAAGGTTGCAAAGCCAAGCACTCAAAAGTTAGGAAATGCCAGAATTCAGGGCACAGACTGAACAGCGCTCACACTGTATAAGCAGCTTATTCGGTGTTTTGTTTTATCCTTGTCCAATGTATATGATCCCACTCCTTATTTACAGCACACTATTAAAACACTTCTCTGAATACAGAATTATTAATTTCTTCATGGGCTTTTGTATGGGTCTCCTCACTATTGTAGTTGAATGCTTCACAAACTTTATTTTCACAACACCCTGGTAATAGGGCACTATCCCCATTCTACAGATGTGGAAGGGAAGCACAGAGAAATCAAAGTAAGTTTGGATGCCTAATTTGAGACTTCTAGCGTCAAAGAAATATATGTAAATAGCACTTTTTTCTTTGAGTGATTGCTCATGTGTATTCCTACAATAGATGTGTGTGCTCACCACGTGCACCAGTGTCGGAAGTTCTTCCCCTAGCAGTACCCGTAGGGGAGCACCCCAGCAACCCCTGGAGTGGCGCCTCTACAGCGCGGTATAAGGGGTGCTGCGCGCTCCACCCACCCTCAGTTCCTTCTTGCCGCCAGTGAAGGTGCTTCGGAACTGCTCTGCTCCTGCTTTGCTGTAGCTTGTCCCCAGATCTTTTGTTCGTTCAGTGTATGTGACCTGCAGTTAGTAGTTTAGTTTAGTTAGTGCGCCCGTGCTGGGGTATGCCCTGTGCCCAGGTTTAAGTTGTGCAACGCTTGTAGGTGACCGATGCCAGTGAATGATCCACACACTGACTGTTTACGCTGTTTGGGTGAAACTCATCTCAGCGATCGCTGCAAGATTTGTAAGTCGTTCAAGCCTCGGACCGAGAGAGAGAGAGAGACATTAGGCTCCAGGCCATCCTGATGGAGTCAGCATTGACCCTGACTTCGGCGCACCGCTCCGAGTTGACACCAGGTACCGCAGTATCGGTGCGCGGTGACCCCCTAGCGCCATCTACCAGTCGCCACCGCTCCCTGTCCGCGGGGCATGCCAAGAAGGCTAAGAAGAGGCCTCCTCTGCCGCGGCACCGGAGCAAGACCGGGGGAGAGGCTACACCAGGGATTGGCAACCTTTCAGAAATGGTGTGCCGAGTCTTCATTTATTCACTCTAATTTTAAGGTTTCACATGCCAGTAATACATTTTAACGTTTTTAGAAGGTCTCTTTCTATAAGTCTATAATATATAACTAAACTATTGTTGTATGTAAAGTAAATAAGGTTTTTAAAATGTTTAAGAAGCTTCATTTAAAATTCAATTAAAATGCAGAGACCCCCCGGACCGGTGGCCAGGACCCGGGCAGTGTGAGTGCCACTGAAAATCAGCTCGCGTGCCGCCTTCGGCACATGTGCCATAGGTTGTCTACCCCTGGGCTAGATCCATGTTGGGCAGTCCTCGGTCCCCATCTGCCTCTAGGCCTCCGACTCAGGTCGAGTGGAGTAGCCCGGCCCATGCGGAGCAGGTTTCCCCGGATGTCTGGATGCCCTCCACGCCAGAGGCCTTGCAAGTGGCCCAGGACGTTATCTCCATGCTGGTACCAGGAGCACCGCCAATGTTGGGCCCGTGGTCCAGGGGCAACCCACCACTGGGATCTCCGCAGTCGCCCCTGCCTCGGTACCTGTCACTGTCAAGGGAATGTTCCTGACACCATTCGCCGCTCAGCGACCATCCCGTGCGTAGTTCACGCAGGTCACCGTCGACCCCCACCAGGTTGTCTGGCTGGGTTCCGACGGACAGAGACTCCAGGCACCGTTCTGCCTCGAGGAGCGGACACCCATGGGACTGAGGCAGACAATGCCAAAAGTCCTCATCTCAGAGGAGCTATTGTAGCCAGTTGCGACGGAACGTTGACGCCGTTCCCGTTCGTTGTCTCGCTCCAGGACCTTGCCACGGCACCACTCCCGGGCGTCGATCGTCGGTGCCTCACTGTTGCGGATCCGCCCTCTGGAGCCGATTGTGGAGCAGCCGCTATCGGCGGTACCGTTCCTCCACGTTGAGATCATGGTCTTGTGGTTGGCAGCGCTCCCGGCAACGCCGCTCCTTCCCGTCCAGGGACAGCGGCAGGTCGTATGTCAGCCCGGCCTCCCTTCATAGTTGTCCATTGATGGGTCAGGCCAGCCAGGCCGAACAGCCTGCTCAGCAGGTGCAGTGGTACTGAGCCCCGTGGCTGGCACAGTGGTTCCAGTGGGCACTGTGGCCCCCAATGCAGCCCCTGGTGGGGGCTCGCTCAGTGGCTGGAGCCTCGGAATGGCTGTCGGCCTCCCTCTCCCAGCCTCCGAGAAAGGAGTTGGTGGGACGTGCATCTTCGGTGCCATACCCGGAGAGAGAACAGTTGGTGGATCCTCTGGTGCCAGTGGACATGCAAAGTACTGTACCTGCCTCCTCCCCCTCCCCGGATGAGGTGATTGGGGCCCCTCCATCCCGCAGGAGGACTCTAAAGCCCACCAGGAACTATTGAAAAGGGTGGCGTCAAACCTCAACCTTCAGGCAGAGAAGGTGGAAGAGCCCGCGGACTCCCTGTTTAACGTCCTGTCCACCTCGGTACCTGGCAGGGGTGGCGAAAATTTCAAATGCCTTGTGGCAAACCCCGGCCTCATTGCCCCTCAACTCTAAGAGAGCGGAACGCAAGTATTTTGTGCCCGCCAAGGGGCATGAATATTTATACACCCATCCTGCCCCTAACTCCCTGGTGGTTGAGTCAGTCAACCACAGGGAGCGGCAGGGCCAACTAGCCCCCACTCCGAAAAATAAAGATTCAAGGAGGCTGAATTCCTTTGGCAAAAAATTTATTCATCCTCGAGCTTCCAGTTACGGGTGGCGAACCATCAGGCTCTTCTGGGCCGGTATGAGTTCAATCTGTGGAACTCTCTCTGCCCAAGTTCGAGGACTCCCTCCAGGAACATGACAGGAAGGAGTTCAAAGCTCTGGTGGAGGAGGGTACAGCGGCTGCCAGGGAAACCCTGCAGGCAGCGTCAGATGCGGCGGACATGGCCACACGGTCCATGGCCTCCGTGGTGTCCATGAGAAGGGCGTCGTGGCTCTTGCTGTTTGGGCTGTCCAGTGAGGCACAGACTTCCTTGCAGGACCTCCCATTTGATGGCAAAGCTCTGTTTGCAGAACAGCGGACATAAAACTGCATGGCCTGAAAGACTCCCGCACGATGCTTAAGACTCTTGGCCTCTATGTTCCAGCTCCGGCTAGACCTAAGTTTAAGCCGCAGCAGGCTCCTGCCCAGGCCACCCACTCTAAATATGAGCCCCCTTATAAAAAGTCGTGGGACTATAAGAAACGCCTGCAGAGGCATTCTTGGCCTGCCCCCCAGCCTGGGTCCTTCAAGGGCAAACAGGCAGGGAAATGGCAGTTTTGACTGTACGCCCGGGATCGACCTACCAATTCACATCAGGGATCCACCCTCAATAAAGCTTCCCTTCTCCAACTGGTTGTGTGCTTTTCTCTCTGAGTGGTCGTGGCTGACCTCGGACCAATGGGTCCTCAGCACCATCTCCTGGGGCTACACCCTCCAGTTTACCTCTACCCCGCCCAACCACCCTCCGCCCCTGTTCCCCCTGGGGGACGCCTCTCACGAGGCCCTGCTCAAGCAGGAGGTAGGGCAGCTCCTGTGCCTAGGAGCGGTGGAAGTGGTGCCAGCGGCATTCAAACGCAAGGGGTACTACTCCCTCTGTTTCCTTACCCGAAGGCCAAAGGGGGGCTCAGCCCATCCTGGACCTGCGAGGCCTGGACCAGTACATGGTGAAGCTCAAGTTCCGCATGGTCTCCATCATTCCCTCCCTGGATCCCGGGGACTGGTACGCTACCCTCAATCTGCAGGACGCGTACTTCCACATCCATATATTCGAGGGGCACAGACGCTTCCTCCATTACACAGTTGGACAGGAACACTACCAATTTACGGTCCTCCCATTGGCCTGTCCACTGCCCGCAGGGTATTTACAAAGTATATGTCTGTGGAGGTGGCCTACTTCAGGCACCATGGGGTCCAGATTTTCCCCTATCTGGATGCCTGGCTGGTCAAGGGCAGCTCCTGTTCGCAGGTGCAGGATCAAGTGGCGCTCCTCTGTCCACGTGCGCCACTCTGGGCCTGTTGGTAAATGACACCAAGTCCACATTAGTCCTAGTTCAATGCACAAAGTTTATCGGGGCAGTCCTGGACGCCACATCGGCCAGAACCTCCTTCCCACGGGACAAGTTCGAGACCCTAAAAGGGCTCATCAACAGTCATGAGGTTTCCAGTGACAACAGCCAGAGCGTGTCTCCAGCTCTTGGGTCACATGTCGGCGTGCACATATGTGGTTCGTCACGCCAGACTCAGGATGAGGCCCGTCTGGTTAGCCTCGTGTTCTCCCAGGCCAGAGACAAGATGGACAAGGTCCTCACTGTGCCCGAACTGGTGATCACCTCCCTTCGATGGTGGTCCCCTCCCAGGGAATATGCTCTGCGGAATCCCGTTCAGAGGCAGGCCACCGTCGATGGAACTGGTGTCCGACGCATCGGACCTGGGGTGGGGAGCCCATGTGGGAGACGTTCAGACCCAAGGGCTGTGGTCGGCACAGGACCTGGCCCTCCACATAAACGTCAAGGAGCTCAGGGTTGTCAGGCTGGTGTGCGTGGCCTTCCGCTCGCACCTGGAGGGCCGTGTGGTCAGGGTTTTCATGAACAACACGGCCTCGATGTTTTACATCAATAGGCAAGGCAGTGCCCGATCATCTGCCCTCTGCCTGGAAGCCCTCAAGCTGTGAGACTTCTGTATAGCTCACGACATTTGCCTACAGGCCTACCACCTACTGGGTGCCCAGAATTCATGGGCGGATCACTTGAGCAGGGACTTTTCCTCTCAGCACGAGTGGTATCTTCACCCATAGATGGTGCACAGACTTTTCCAAGAGTGGGGAACTCCCCAGGTGAACCTGTTTGCAACTCGAAGGAACCGTCACTGTCCCCGGTTCTGATCATGGGGGGCTGGGATGGGATGCTATCCCTGATGCCTTCCTCCTATCCTGGTCAGGCCAGTTGCTCTATGCCTCCTCCCGGTTCCCACTGATCGGCAAGATCCTGGAAAAGATAAAGACGGACAGTCCTCCTGATTGCCCCGGAGTGGCCAAGGCAGCATTGGTACGGGACCTTCACGAGCCTGGCGGTTGCCCCACCACGGCCGTTACCGTCCCACCTGGACCTGATCTCCCAGGACCAGGGCCACTTCCTCCACCCCAACCTAGCAGCACTCCACCTCACGGCGGCTGAGTGGGGCGTCTCCCCCGTGGCTGCACCAATCCAGCTCATTTTGGACTACCTCCTTCACCTTGGAGCCCAGGGCTTGGTGCCCTCATCTGTCAAGGTGCACTTGGCAGCCATATCGGCCTTCTACCTGCCGGTGCAGGGGCACATGGTATTCTCCCATGCCATGACTGGCCGATTCCTTAAGGGATTGGATCGTCTCTTCCCGTACGTTAGGCCACCGGTCCCGCAGTGGGACCTGAACTTGGTGCTGGCCCGGCTGACGGGTCCCCCATTTGAGCTGCTAGCTACGTGCTCCTGGTCACAACTCTCATGGAAGGTAGCCTTCCTGGTAGCGATCACGTTGGCTAGGCGGGTCTCAGAACTCAGGGCCCTGACCTCCGAGCCCCTGTACACGGTGTTCCATAAGGATAAGGTCCAGCTCTGCCCACACCCTTCGTTCCTCCCGAAGGTGGTCTCCGCCTACCACATGGGTCAGGACATTTTCCTGCTGGTCCTCTGCCCCATGCATCCAGTGAGGAGCGCCGCCTCCACTCGCTGGATGTGAGACGGGCTCTGGCTTTTTACCTGGAGCAGACTAAGCCGTTCAGGAAGTCTTTGCAGCTGTTCATTGCCTTGGTCGAATGCATGAGGGGTCAGCCGATCTCCAATCAGCGGCTCTCCAACTGGATCACCTCGTGCATCCGTACCTGTTATGACCTGGTGGGAATCCCCCAGCCATCAATTGTGAGGGCACACGCACTAGGGCGCAAGCCTTGTTGGCTGACATTTTAGCCCATGTCCCCATTCAGGACATTTGCAGGGCTGCCACATGGTCTTCAGTTCACAGGTTCACCTCTCATTATGCGATCGTCTCCCAGACCAGGGACGATGCCATGTTTGGTAGGGCTGTGCTCCGTCCCGAGAATTTGGGAACTCCTACCCGCCTCCAACGGATATAGCTTGGAATCACCTATTGTGGAATAAACATGAGCAATCACTCGAAGAAGAAAAGACAGTTACCTTTTCCGTAACTGGTGTTCTTCGAGATGTGTTGCTCATGTCTATTCCACATTCCACCCCCCTTCCCCGCTGTTGGAGTTGTCTGGCAAGAAGGAACTGAAGGTGGGGGGCGCATGCAGCACCCCTTATACCACGCCACAGAGACCCCACTCCAGGGGTCGCTAGGGGCACTCCCCTATGGGTACTGCTAGGGGAAAAACCTCCGGCACCAGTGCACGTGGCGAGCACACACACCTATTGTGGAATAGGCATGAGCAAGACATCTCAAATAACACCAGTTACAGAAAAGGTAACTGTCTTTTATATGTTCAAAATGCATCTCCCATTGACCATAATTTTAGCTGTAAAAACTCAACCCTAAGGTCTCAAGTGGAAAAATAGTATGTGTTTATGTAATTAAGACTACCATAATGCATATGCACAAAGGGACTGTATTAACATTGCACAGGCGACCTTAATTCTGGCCTTTTCCTAACTTTTGAGTGTTTGACTTTGCAACCTTATGTTTTTTAATGTCGTTTTTTGTGTGTAATTTCCTAGCTTTTAAAAAAAGCAAACTGAAAAAACAACACTGCCATGCTGTGGCTTCATATTGATCCCTTCATGGCTCATAAGCAGGGTTGCAACCTTTAGATCCACAGCACAGACCTCTGTCACTTGAGCTAAGAGAACAACTGATACTAATAGGAGGTTGTCACCCTCTGTGTGAAGCAGCACTAGAAGGGGATGAGATGCGTGCTTTTCCAGTGGATTTCACAGATATTTGCTGACAACAGAGGAATGGTGGGTCTCCGAGATCTTGGGTTCCATTTCAGTTTCTGCAGGGCAGTATTAGCTAGTCGGCATAGACCCTTCTGTGCCTGTGCCTCTCAAACCTAATCCCTTTTGCTGGTCCTTTCTCTCCCTGTCTCTCAATTCCTCGTCCGAGTCTCTACTCCCCACGCTCCTTGTCCCACTCTCCAATCCCCCAGACTCCCCATCCAAGTCCCAGTCTTTCCCCAGCCCTGTCTCCCAGTTTCCTATCTAAGCAACTTGTTCTAATCCCCACCTGGCTTTTTGACCAATCTCAGTCTTCCCCAACACTGGCTCCATGTCTCCTTGCCTAGCCAGTCCCAATTTCCCCATATCCCTGGCTCCTCCTATGATCTCCGTCTCCTCCCACTCCTAGCTCCCAGCCAGTCTCCTTGCCCAGTCAGTCCCAGTATCATCCCCCCCCCGACCCAGGGCTGGCTCCGGGCACCAGCGAATGAAGCAGGTGCTTGGGGCGGCCAATGGAAAGGAGGGCGGCACGTCCAGGTCTTCGGCGGCAATTCGGCGGCGAGTCCCTCAGTCCCTCTCGGAGGGAAGGACCCGCCGCCAAATTGCCACCGAAGAATGAAGCGGCACGGTAGAGCTGCTGCCGAAGTGCCACCAATTGCAGCTTTACCTTTTTTTTTTTTTCTGCTTCGCCGCTTGGGGCGGCAAAAAAGCTGGAGCCAGCCCTGCCCCCACCACCAATTCCTTGTTTTAGTCTACTCTTTCCATCCCATCTCAGTCCCTGGTCCAGCTCTTGTCCTCTCTTCATTTCAGTCCTACTTATCCACACTGCCTGTGAACCAGCAGGGGGAACACTGAAATCACAGGAGAGTTTCCCTGTTCTCAGCTATTAGGCCTGACACTCCTGGAGCAGCAAGCGCAGAGAAAGTCTTGTTCAACCACTGCAGCTCCAGCATGTAGCATGCTCAGTGCAGATGGAATTGTCAGGGAATTTAGCTATCGACCACTAATAAAGTCTCTATGGAGCATGTGTGAACTGAGATTTTTCCAGGGGCTTATAACTTGACATATTTGGGAGGATTTGCCTAGGGATGGCATAAGGCACACATCTGACACCAGCGTGAATCCCTCGCCAAATTCCTAATCCCTGCTTTAGAGCATGGGGGCACAGGAGTGTCTCAGTTATAAGAATTTGTTTAATATGGGCAAAACAATGTGTTTTTCCTAGTCTTTTATTCTTGGAAACAAACAAAAATTAAAAATAAATAAATTAAATCAGTCTGAAGCATGGAAAAAATCCACTCAAACAGTTAAAGCTGTAAGTGAAAAGAAGGTTTTATAATGGGAAGTGTCAGATAACCTTATCGATAGGTGGCACTACCAGCTCTGCTTATAATATGTAATGGCTGAGAAATCATGCAGATGGTATTATGAAGCACTTAAACTCTCTCCTGTGCTTATATTACTGTAATGTGATATATGTATAAAAATCACAACTCCTTGTATAGCATTGCCTCAATCTATTTATCTATAGAAACTAGTGTGTGTACATAGGTCCTCAGATACTACAATGACAGGTATAGTGTAAGAACCTAGAAGTGTTGAGTGTGGCACAGCTAACTACAGTATACAGCATTCTATTTAGCAAATACATATACACGCTGTGTTTGTATGTATGAGTACATATGTATAAATATGAGAGAGAAATTGGTGTTTGTTAGAGGTAAGACTGCAAAATAGTTTTCACTATAACTTCTAGTCACAGACATAATTTCCCAATATACGCTTGTAATACAGTGGGGAGAGACCCACCAGCAAGGCAATGTCTTTGTCAACAATTTCTTACTCCCAAATGCAGGTCTGCACTG